TAACTATCATTTAGCAATGACTTATTACACACAGACATTCTCATAAAGTCAGATATTTTCATTTAACTATCACTGAGTCCAACGAGCAAGTATCATCTCACATTTGTGGAGAGGCGAGGAAAGTAACTCTGTGAACGGTAGAAAAAGGCAAGTCATATGAAACCTCAAGTTGGTTATTTGGGGGTGGGCTGGAGTCAAGAAGGAACCAGATAAATCTAATAAAGAAAACACAGGCCGGTAATGGACAAATAAGGACACAAATACAATAAACGGTTTTGAGGATTACCTAAGTGATCATCTAGAAAATAAAGTTGGATTCCTACTTCATTTTATACACTAAAATAAATAGCAGATGGATCAAATATTTAAATATGAGAAAAGATCATGAAAGTGTAAGAAATGGGAAAATATGTGTGTAATCTTTGAGTAAGCGGGCCTTTCTAAACATGACGATCAAAAATGGCAAAGGACATGAAAAGGCAGTTTATGAAAAAGGAAAAAACAAATGATCTTAAATCTGTGAAAAGATGCTCCACCTCATTTATAGGAAGAAAACTGTAGATACCATTTTCTTTTCACCTATTATATTGGCAAAGAGAAGAAAATTTCTGAACATTGTGTTGGTGAAGGCTTGGGGAATACAAATCAGGACAACTCCTTTACAGGAGGTTCTGCCTAATCTATCAAATGTCTAAATATTTATGGTCTTTGAACAGCAATTGTGCTCCCAGGAAGTTACCATACTGACATCCTCACACATGGGCCCAAGGTACCTGGGCAAGAATATGCCTGTTTGAAGGAGCAAAGGATTGGAAATAACCCATATGGCCATCAGGAAGGCACAGGTTAAATAATTTACGGTATGGCTCTACAATAAAAGACTTTGCAGCCAGAGAAAAGATTGGGGTGGATCTGCATATAACTGATATGGAATAGCCAAAGTGGGAAAAGGTCCACAGTGTGCTGTCATTTGAATTCCAAATAAGGATCTAAGATGAAACAAGAGTGACAGCAAGCTGACAGTTGCTGGAGATGGGTGATGGGCAGACGAAGTTTCATTGTACTTTTCTCTCCAATTTTGAGCATTCGAAAATTTCCAGACTTTCCATAATCTCTCAGTCTGCAGAGAGAGACAGGTGGAATGGAGACTTTTCACTATATTCCAAATTGTATTTTACAAAAAAAGCCTAATAACAATGATTGCTTCTGGGAAGGGAGCCTGGTGACAGAGGTGGGAGGGAGACTGTTTTCTGAATAACCCTTTATATAACTGTTGGAATTTTAAATTATAGGCATACATTACCTATTACTAGATAGAAAGGGAAAATATCAGGCATCCATTTTTTCACGTACAACTTGTGTGTTTACAGTAATAGAAATGAATAGAACGCAAACACCCCTTTGAACCCTGTAATCACTTGAATGACTTCCCTCTGAAGTTCTCTCTCTAGGGAGATATGGAAGCTGCCACATGGAACAGACACTTTTAAAGCCGTCAGATGGGTTTGTCACATGAATAATTAGTGTATGATAGGAAACCAAAGATATTTAAGTTAAAGTTTCTAGAAGTACTGGGCAGGTGGCACAGAGAGGTTAGCAGGAGTCCACGATCTTGGTAGCAACATTTTAGATTTACAGGAGGAAGTACCTCCAATTTTTATTAACCCATGACTCATTGAGTGTGATGGCCCATAAGGGAATAACGGATACTGTGACAAGGCGTATTTTTTACTGTTTAAAATTCACATCAATTCAGCTTGTTTCCTACATGTCTACTGTGCTCAAGGAACTGGACTTAGTGTGCCTGGAGATGAATAACCCAGTCTGTGCCTTCTGGCATGAGGTAGAACAGGTATCAAGGTAACCCCAGGCCAAGGCAGGAGGTGAGCGAGGAGACTCGTGGGAGCAGGGCTCCTGGCGAACATCTGGGCAAAAAGGTGAAATCTGGAAAGCAGAGAGCAGGCACGCAAGGATGCCTTCCAGCACTTTTCCTCAGTTATTAGCTTTTGGTTTACCTGCAGTAATGAAGGCTTTTATAAAGATCAGTTTTCTCGTATTTCATCTCACTTCCTTGGGAGAACATCTTGACAAATGGATTTCCTTTTCTCATTACATATTGGCATTTCTGATGAGCAGGGACCTAAATCATCAGATTTCCAGACTCTGTGAGTGCTGGGTCAAATATCAGACACCCACGTGGGTGTACAGTCCTCATTCGTTCAAATGCTGAATTCATTCCGTTGAAGACAACTTTGAAAGTTGTGGCTTAACCTCAGAGCGAACCGGCCGTCACCTGATTGTTCTGAAAGCATGGTCTACATTACTTGTTTTGCTCACTTTTCTATCTTGACAAAGGATTTAAGGATGAGTAGCTGTTGCTGACCAACAGCAGCCTGTGTAAAGTGTTCATCACTCTTTATGGGGGTTGGGGAGGGAGGGGGCTTGGACCTCCTTGAAATAGACCCCCCCTCCCTCTGCGGCTACCTAAGCAAATTTGATTTTTCTACAGTCTTGTCTCAGTCAGAAGAGACTGTACAAGTTTGGCCAGTCTTGTTTTACAAAATATGGTGCGTTGTATGTTCTATAGACACAGATAAGGTGTTGATTAGGAGAAATGTCCTGTCTGTCAGAAACATGGAACTGAATCTCCACCTCTACAGAAAATGCATACAGCCTTCCTCATTTAAGATGCTACAGATATTTGAAATGCAGTTCAACTATTGCTATGGTTCTGAGCAAGGGCTGGTTCCAAGAAAGACCAATTAAGACAAGAATGACTGGAGCAAGATAGTGTTACAAGCAAAAGAAAAGAGAAATGCAAGACTCTCTTGTGACAGACTGAGGCTCTGCATGATGCCAGAAGGTTCCGTCTCCTTCCCCTTCTCACCTTGTATCTCTGTGGCAAATGCAGGGAAAAGGAATAAAGATTGCTGAGGCAGTGAGTGCCTAGTCTAAAATATGCTAACCATAACCGTCTTCGTTGCAGTTTCTTCTTCCCATCCATCCACCCATACACCCATCCAGCCACCCATCTGTATGTGCATCCATTTAAAGATTGCAGGTAGAGAACGAGGGTTTGAGCCCCGGCTCTCCACCTCTGGGGGCCTTACTAGACAAGCTATTTGGCCTCATTGTACCTTGTTTTCCTCTCTGTAGAATGGGGCTAATGGCAGTATCTGCCTCCCAGGCTCCTTGAGAGGGTTAGAAATGCCTCTACAGTGCTTAACTCAGTAGTGCCATCCACATAATTGGTGCTCAGTAAATGACTGCTATTTTATAACAATTCAAAAAAGAACTAGGAGCTACTTATACCAAAAAATTAGTAACACACTCAAACACAGAAATTCATTTATACACTACTTGGTTATAGGAATAAAAATAGAAATTAATCCTGACATTGCTGTTTTGCTGGAATTTGTGCAGTGCAGACAAGTAGTGACAGAAACAGGGGTGGCAAATATTCTCCTGGGCCTATCAGTTGTTTCAGGAAAGGACTTTGATTCAGCAAGAATCAATCTAAGAGACGGATCAGTTGTCCTTTTTTGCTTCCTATTATCTTACTATCTTACTAAGAAAGCTAATCTGGCTGGAAAAACAATCTTAGCCAGTTTGTTCATTATATTTCACTGATAAGACTGCACGGAGGAAAACCATTTCCTAACATTTTCCAGGAAACTAAGGGCTTAGAAAAATAAAAACAACCCCAAACCAAATATGACCACAGATCAGCATGTATAGTTCAAATGCCATTTTATGGGGCAAACCTTAAAAAAATAGATGAATGCTAAGTGAGTGACACTGTCATAAGGTTTTTACTTTTTAGAAGAATATCCCATCTATGAAGTACATCTATGATATACTCCCTTAGAATCATGACACATTTCAGTTCCACAGCAGAAAATTATGCTTTGATCTGCTATTTCTTACCACAGTCTTCTCTAGACATAATTTTCTGTGAGCAATCTATTTCTTAAGTGTGACATTGAACATAATTTAAACTTTAAATGAATTAATTAAGCCAATTAATCAAAATAAACTGTGTAAAGGATTTCAGTTGGATATGTCCTAGAAATCTAATGAAACTCTCTAGAGAGTTTGTCCTTTTTCTCATCCAGGAATAAAGTTATGCACACTGGTATTCAGCAGTTAAGAATATCACCTGAGTGTCCTCATATTTTCTAGTCTTTGAGTCACACTTATTTTCACATTCAAATTTAGTAACTCGAGACCCCCTCTTGTGTGACGGTAGGATAGTCCGTCTTTGCTCAAACCTTTCTCAGGATCCCTGGGTGGTATCTGTGTTTCCTCCCACCCTGAACTCCTTCTCCTGCTGTCTGGTTTTCTCTTAGCATCTCAGGCCTGACTCTGTAGGATGCTGTTCTCCCTGGACATTTGCCCCTGGTGTGATTGCAGCTTCTCCTTCATTCTCTAGCCAGCTTGAGACTGACACTAAGCAGTGGTGGTTAGCACAATTCCCTGAAGGTTTGAGGATGTCGTAAGGGAACCAGCATCAGAAAAGGAAAATGTAAACTTGGTGTCAGATGTTACTCCTCCTAGAGTCCTTGGTGTTTTGGGGGCCCCCTTCCCTCCTGAAAGTCAAGTCAGTTCATCTGAAGTCAAGGAAAGTGATCCCTTCCCTCTATTATGCACAGCTTTTGAACATCCATCCCATCTCTCCCCCTCCCCATGCCTTGGTGTCTGAGGTCAACCCTGCCGCCTGAAGTCACTTCTTCCCAAGAAGGTTCTTTCAGAATTCTGCTCAAGACACATGCTTGGAATGCACTTGTATTTTCTCCTCTTAATACATATTACTCTTTAAAAAAAATCATATAGTAAAATTGACTTTTTTGGGTACAGAGTTAGATGATTTTTAACACTTTTGTAATCAGAGGAAAACAACATAAAATGTATTAAGATTGACCATCACGAGTCTCTCAAAGCCTTCTGGGATTCATGTGTAGCCACTCCTGTAACTTCCCCTGTTTTTCTTTTCCTTCCAGAGTCTGAGATGAACTCTCTACCCAGCAGCAGTAGGTGCAGAAGAACTCCCCTGGTGCTTCTGAAGTGGCTTATAATACGCAGACGTGTGCTCATCTAGCTGACCTCCCGCTGAAGTGCATGTTCTGCGTGGACTGCAAACCTAATATACAAGTTAGGGCAGATTCAACGCCAGGCACAGCGAAGACATTCTACAACGCTCCCTGCCTGTGTGCACAATTGTAGGTGATCACACACGCCTGTGGCCTCTTACTCTTTTCATCCCTTTACCATCCTTTTCTTAGCCCCCACTTTGCCTTTCATGCTCAGGTTGTGGTTCAGGAGAGCTTGGCAGCAGTCAGCTACCAGCTAGATGCATACACTGAATTATTTTCCTCTAAAATAGCTGACGAGATGAAAAGGAAATTAAAGTTTGTTTCCTTGATCAAAGCTGAGGAGTTGGGTCAAGAAGCTTGAATTCTGAGGGTCATTTTACCGTGAAGGAAATGGTGCATTGGAAAGCACACTGTGGACGAGAGGAGGAGTTGAGGGAACTGTCCCTGGATTTTAAAAATCAAAGTTTCAGGGAAAGACCAAACATGTTCGGTAAAGAACTAACTTACCTTTTAGATGCGAGGTTGACCAATATCGTTGTGTTTACAATAGTGTTTTCCTTCTGGGAGGTTGAGATGGTAAGTTTGTGTGTTTGTCACGCTGTGTGGGACAGGGCAGGGGACTCAACAGCACAGGATGTCAGTGGACTCGATCTGTGCTGCTAAACAAGAGCCACCGCCACATATTTGCCACACCTGCATGGAATTCATTCCAGTTCCCTATGTGTGATGTGAGAGAAAGCGCGAGCTTAATCCATATCATATGTCTCGGAAAAGCTCCAGACAGACACCAGCCTGGAGTGAGAAATGTGGATTTTTCAGTTACTAATGTTTAAAGGGTAACATTTCCTTAGTTTCATAAAACAGAATGAAGGCCTTTTTGGGGCCTGCTTTAAAGGAAATCTTGAAGCAGTCACTTCTATAGGCATTCACGGCTGGTAGGAAAAAAGATACCAGCAAATAGAAATGGCTTTCCTCAGATCACTTGGTCTGTCAGAGACAGTCCCAGTTTGACATGGTACCCAGGCAAGTTGTTTAGAGGGAGACAGAAAGAGCCTCAGTGTAAAGAAACCCATGGGGAAGGGGCTTACAGGCTCTGTGCACATCTGAAATTTGCATGCAAATTACTGAGTACTGGTGCATTTTCTGAGGGTTCGTAGCTTTCATCAGATTCTCAAATAAGTTCATAGCCAAGAAAAATTTAGGACATGCCCACCACCTTCCAGCAATGTAAATCCAAGGCAGGTTAGAAAACATATGTAAAAGATGGAACTGTCAGCAGCTAACCAAATAAACAGAAGGAATTATAGGTGGATCTTAACTGATACTGAAACAGGAGAGGACTTTACAAGCACAAAAGGAATGGGAGAATTCACAAAAGAAAAGATAAATAGATTTAATATTTAAAACTGGAATTCCTTTTATACCAAAAAATGTCATGAGTAAAAAGACCACTTAGGGAAAACGTTTACAATAAATTACCGGAAAAGAGTAAATATTCTTAATCTATTAAGAAAATAAACTCTTACAAACCAGGAAGAAAAACTCCATCTCTCAAATAGAAAAAAATAGGCAAATAGGAACAGATGATTCACAGAACATATACAGTTGATAGCAGCTGTGCGCTGGAGCTGGCTGGTACTAGCTCACCTCAGCCAATTCTCTGTTCCTCGTTCAGTGACATCACGTTAATGGCTTGCACTTGGCCATGGTGAGAGTTGTCACAGCAGAGAAATCATCTACAAATCAAGGCTTTTTCTTGACTGCCAATTTACCAGCAAACCATTGGTTAATAGATGTATAAAAAGCAGTTCAAGTGTACCAGTAATCAAAGAAATACAAAAAGAAATGAGGTCTGGACAAGATGGAAATAAGCACATTTCACCCTATTTCTCCTGCAAATTACCATAAAAAAAAATCTGCAGACAATTCATAAAGCAACTGACAGAGCCTCTGAAAGTTGGAGAAAACGTAAGTAGAGTGGCTAGGGACCTCAGAATTCAAGGAATTACCCAGTAGTTCTTGTTTTTTTTTTTTTTTTTCACTTTTGTCTTTTCTATATCTTGGTCTGGGCTCTGGAGAGGCCTCCAATCTGGAAATGCCAGTGGCACCAGACAAACAAAGGCCCAAGAATAACCCTCTTATCTCTAGCCAAAAGATGGGGACAAGGGCAACTAGTAAGAGAGAAACATTTGACCCCACCTGACCTCACTCCAGCTCAGGTGAACACCAGAAGAATGCCACGCCCCTGCCCCTGCTCCCTGGGCATCACTGCCTTGCGGTGATAGAGCCCTGCCTTCCATCCTCCCTTGCAATAACAGGCCACACCCTGGAACAGACTGTGGCAGGACTTCCAGTGTGGGCAGTGATTTCTTATTGCTATGGAGTCCAGGAGGAAGTGGAACATTTTTCAATCATTGAAAGAAGAAAACAGTCAAGCCAGAATTCTATATCCAGTGAAAATATCCTTTAGGAAGAAAGGTAAAACAGACATTTTCAGATGAAAGAAAACTAAGAGAATTTGTCACCAGCAGACCTGCTTTAACAGAATAGCCAAAGGAAGCTTTTCAGACAGAAAGGAAATGATAACAGAAAGGGTGAATATTTGAGTAGATGTAATAGGCTATTCTTAAATTTTAAAAATTTTGCTTGATGGTTGAAAGCAAAAATTACAACATCTGAAGTGGTTCTCAATGTACATAAAGGTAACATTTAAGACATCTACATCATAAAGGGAGAAGCATAAAGGGACCTAAAAGATGGTAAAATTTTCACATTCCACTTGAAGTGATAAAATATTGATACTAGTGGACTGTGATGAATTGTGCACATATATTGTAATCTTTAGAGCAGCAGTTTTCAATCAGGGGATTTTTGTCCTCCAGGGACATCTGGCAATATTTAGAGACATGATCACACATGCTACTGCCATCTAGTTGGTAGAAACCAAGATGCTGCTAAATGTTCTTATGCAGGACAATCTCATATAAGAAAGAGTTATCCAGCCCCAAATGTCAACAATGCCAAGATTGAGAAGCCTTGCCCCAGAGCAACCATATAAAAAACAATACAAAGGCAGACACTCAAAAACACAATAGATAAATCAATAAGGAATACTAAAGAATGTTCAACAACCCAGAGAAAAGCCAGCCCTGGTGGTCTAATGTTTAAGATTTGGCACTCTCACTGCTGTGGCCTGGGTTTGTTTCCCAGTCAGGGAACCACACCAACTGGCTGTCAGGTGTTATACTGTGGCAGCTGTGTGTTGCTATGATGCTGAAAGCTATGCCACTGGTATTTCAAATATCAGCAGAGTCACCCATGGTGGACAGGTTCCAGACTAAGACAGACTAGGAAGAAGGACCTGGCTACCCACTTCCAAAAAAACTTCCATGAAAACCCTATGAATAGAGTGGAGCATTGTCTGATATAACACTGGAAAGTGAGAAGATGGCACTAGAAGTTGATGAAATTGATTCACCAGCACTAACAAAAACCCATAGGAATTCAGGAAAGAGGAGCACAATATAACAAAAATCAGAGGGGACAAACACAATATTAAAATGGTAGACTTAAATTCCAACATATCAATAATTGCATTAAATGTAAGTGGCTAAACACATCTATTAAAAGACAGTGACTGACAGAATGAATGAAAAAAATATACAACCCAACTATATGTTATCTCTGAGAAACTCATTTCAAATAAAACGACATAGGTAAGTTAAAAGTGAAAAGGTGGAAAAAAACATACCTTTCAAACACTAATCAAAAGAAAACTGAAGTAGATAGATGAATATGAGATAAAGTAGATTTTAGAACAAAGATAATTCCCAGAGCTAAAGATGGACATTGCATAAGGATAAAAGGGTCAATTCACCAAGAAGACACAGCAATCCTTATTGCGTGTGTCACAAACAACAGAGCTTCAAAATACATGAAACAAAAACTGATGGACTAAAAGGAGACACATTTATAGTTGGAAACTTCAACATCCCATTTCAGTAATTGGTAGAACCATTAGACAGAAAAAAAGAAGATATCTTTGTTTCATGTATCAAATTCAAAAGTTTTGAAATGTTAATTCTTAGTACTAACAGTCATGGTGAGACAGATGCTTTATAATAATGTGAGAACATAGATGTATATAACAGTCCAGAAAAAATATTTATATATTGGGAGGCCTAAAATGGTTATACCATTTTTCAACCCAAGATTTTAACTTTTAGGAATCTCTCCTAAGGGAATAATTAAAATGGTCCAGAATTTATCTTTCTCGGCCTTCGTAACAGAGCTATTTATAGTAGCAAATATTAGAGACATCCAAACATAACCACTAATAGGCAAGTACTTAAAAAATTATTCTATATTCACATACAGTACTATTGTTAAAATAATGTTTTTAGGAATTTCTAATACCATGGTAAATGGGAATGATTTTAAGGCAAAAGAAGCAGTATACAAAGCAATGTAGATAGAGAATAATTATATTAAAAATAATATAAATACACAAAAATTACTAGGAGAAAATATAATAATGAAAGCAAGGAAAAATTACCAGTGATTACGTCTTTGCGCTTTTCATTTGATTGCTTTCATCCCCTCCACCCCTTAAGTTTCGTGTTGTGAAATGATGTCATGTTCATGGTCATAACAAACAGAAACTGTTACCTCCAAAAACAGCATAAAAATGAGATGATATAGGCAAAATGTGCAATACAGTGCAGGGGCTGGTGTGGAGAAACTCAACGGGTGGTAAAGTTTTTGTAAATAACTTCGAAAATGAAAAAATGGTAAGAAAGTATACCCATTATTATTCCTAAAGTGACCGTCTCTGTTTTATTGTCCAGGCCTAGTTGTTAATAGTGCCCCTGCCCTTCTCAAAAGTGTCCTGGTTCAGACGATAGGTTGCACAGCCACCCTCACTATTCTGACTATAAAAATATTAGTTATATTATCTAAAATACACTGCACCCTTACTACACACCAAGCACTGTGCTAAATGCCTTACGCGGATTATCTCAGTTAACCGTCTGAGGAGCTGAATTAGCTCCATTTCATAGAGGCAACGAGAAGTTAAGCAACTGGTCCAAGTTCAGACATTAGCAAGTGGCAGAGTCTGGACTGGAACTACATGCACCCAGTCAGCAGCTGAAGGCGTACCTGGGCCTGCCTGAGTGCAGGGTTGGCCGGCAGAGGTCTGGCGGGGACGGTGGGCACACGAGGAGGAGCCTGGTGGAGGGCCAGGAGCACTCGCTGAGGCGAACTGGGCTGAGGGACGTCGAGGGCTTTGAGGGGTCTGCTGATGTCAACGTTCTGACACTGCAGGAGTCTCCTGGGATTGTCCTGCAGGGTTTCAAAGCGAAGAGCCAGGATATAAGAGGTCTCAAAATTAGCTGTAACTCCTTAAGGAAAAAGCAGGGCTAAGGAGTCTGCTGTAACCGAAGGGGGCAAGTGGGGTGGAGTAAGGGAAAGAAAGCAAGGAGTTACACAAGAGGGAATCTATTATTATTTATTTAAACTTCAAAATTTATCAGAAGCGCCTCCCCCCCCACCCCGCCCCAATCTAGAACGGAGGGATTGACTTCTATTTGAGATTTAAGAAACCGCCTTAATTCACTAATAGATTCAAGGCACTTGAGGAAGTGCCAACAAGTATGAAGATGCAGACCAGATCATAAAGAAATTACGAAAGAGCTGTGAACATGAGACATCGCTTAACGCACACAAGGCTCCACGAGAACAGAGGAAACCTCCTAGGGAAGGAGGGTCGAGGCTTCTGGAAGCCAGGGCTGGGGTTAGGGCCTGCATCTGGAGCATCTTCTCCCGAGTGGGCCCTGGTTTTTAGCGACAGATCACAACAGATGCAGCATGGGCCTTGTGCCCCACACCCCCACCCCTTCTTCTTTTCCTCCTTTCTCTCTTTCTAAAAACAGCTTTATTGAGGTATAATGGATGTGCAACTAAATTGCACATATTTAAAGTGTACAATTTGGTAAATTTTGACATTATGTCTAAACCCATGAAACCATCGCCATAAGATAATGAACACATCCGTCACCCCCAAAAGATTCCTTGTCAGCCTTCCCTCCCACCCCTCCCCATCTCCCTTTCACTGCAACTACTCGTTTTCTGTCACTATAAATTAGTTTGCATTCTCTAGAATTTTACATAAATGGAATCATAGAATATGTACTCTTTTTTGTCTGGGTTCTTTCACTCAGCATAATTATTTTGAGATTCATCCATGATGTGTATAGCAATAGTTCACTCCATCTTGGTGCTGAGTAGCATTCTATTGCGTCAATATACCAAAGTTTGTTTATCCTTATACTTGTTGATGGATATTTGGGTCATTTCCCATTTTTGACTCTTCAAAATAAAGCTGCGCTTTCATTTTCACGAATGAAGCTGTTCTTGGCATAGTCCCATGATTGGGGATGAAAGGTAGCAAAGTTCTCAGGAATGGCAGCTGCCTCTTTGGAATCCAACCCTCTATACTTTTCGAATCAAGGGAGATAAAATAGTTTCTTGCCTACCGAATATGTGATAATGATTTCAAAAATCATTTGTCATTTCGAGGCACCAGCACTGTTCACTGCTATAATTTGGGCCCCTGTTGAAGGAGTTCAATATTCAAGAACTCTTGTGGACACATAAAAATGCTTGGTGAAAAAACCTAATATTCCAGTGAACTCTAGCAATAAGTCACCAGGGGAGCAGGAAGGTGAAGAGACAGTAGGAAGCCAGGAGGTACTTTGGGTTAAGGATCCAGCTTTTTGAAACTGTAGGTTGGACAGATGGGCCCAACCAAGGGCTCAGCATAACTCTTAGAAATACCCTGGGAGTACCAGTGGGTCAAAGAAGCTTGCCCAAACCCAGTCGGTGGCATTCTGAAAGCTCAGGAGGGGCCCAGGTCAGGAACCTGCTTGGGTGGCAGACCGAGTGGGCCTTTTGGGAATCTGGCAGGTCTAGGTGACTGGAGGGGTCATGACTCACAGCGTACCACACACCACGTCATGCAGGGGACACTGCCTCCCCTAAGAGAACCTAGCAGAGCTTCCAAGCGGCGCCGAGAGCCTCCTTCCAGCCCCGCTCATCACGTCAGTCAGCCTTCCTGGAACTGAGCGTGCTGACTCAGCAAGTCACTGCAAGAGTCCCCAGGATCTATTCCCACTCAAGCTTGTATTGAAAAACCCACGTCTTCATGCGCACACGAACTTCTTATGTTTAAAACTTACCTTCGGGGTGTTGGAATGCGGTGGCTTCCTCATCAGGCCTTTGCTGAGGTGGGTGAGGTGAGCCTGAGCAGGCTGGGAGCCACTGGATGGCCGGGAAGGGCGCACACACCTGCAACGCAACCCCACACATGCCAACCATGGGCATCGTGCCCTCTGGCGCGCTTAACTTTTTCTGTTTTGTTCACAATGACACTCAAAAAACAATTCACTTATTTTAACCCAGGGTGGTAAGCATGCAAAGGAAAAATTATCTAACACTCTTACAAGATTAAAAAGTAAATGTTGATTTTTTTTCCCCCTAAAGCCACTATCTGTTAAATTAGCTCTTGCAATCCATAGAAATGCGGCTTTGCGACACGTTTTTGTAGAAAGCTGGCACTGCGGCAATAATGTCTTTGAATACATTTGAATCAAAAGCTACCCCACTTGATGAAAATATTTTAACACCCCATGTCTTGTAAAAATTACTAACGTAAGGGTGGGAAAAAAATACATCAGTGGGATTTGTCAACACCCTATTTATGTAAGCAGCCGCCAATAGTTTGAAGGGAAAGGAAAGGAGTCAGCTGGTCTGGCAGAAATGCTAAAAACCCAAAAAACCAGTGTCACTATCCAGAAAATCGAACCTCTTCTTTGCTAAGGAAAATGAAGTGAGAAGTGGTTGTACCTTCTTTCAAACCAGTTATTTCTTGAAAAAATGACCCAAACCCACGGTACCTTAGCTTTTCAATGGTGGTTTTTTTATCTGTAAACAGCAGTCGGATCAATGTCTTCCTTTTGAGATAGACCACAAATCCAGCGGCAAGAAGACACAGGATGGTCACCAGGATTCCTATCGTTAAACCTTGGTTATCTGGAACAAAATGCACTGGACTCAGGGAGGGAGGCAGTTACAGTGAAATGCGGGAAGTATCAAATTGTGACATTGATGGCAAAGCGAACTCTGAAGGAAGGAACAGAAGTGAAGTGGGTAAATCCTGGACTGATGTACTGATCAATTCGTCTTACTTCAAGGGTCGTGTCTGAGGTTCAATCTATGTCGCCATCATTCTTTCTGACAACTCTGGAACTTGCTGAACAGGAATAGAGTCTGGGAGGTGGGACCACAGCCCTGGCCACACAGCTCCCCCACCCCAAACCCCCGTCCCCCAGGTGTGACAACAGCAGGGGAAAGTGGCCACAGAAAGTAACAGGGAACCATCATTAAAATCCTGTCACAATGAAAGTGGCCCCTGAACTAAAATCTTTCCAGCCCTTGTCACAAATATGTTACTCCAGGCTCCTTCCTTCTCTCATTCTTTGCATGGAGTCTGTTTTATTTGGATTTTTTTGTATTTTTTTTAGACAGAGACTTTATTTCTGGACACGGTCACATTAGAAGGTGGAAAAAAGAAAAAGAAAAGTCATAACTTAAATGAAATGCCCATGGGTTTTGTTTTCTCATGTTAGGGACTTAAAACACAGCCTTGGCAAGCAAACCCTTTCTCTGGGAGGATGCTGTTTATGTTCTCTAAGGAAACATCCCTTTTCTGTGATTTGATCCCATTTTGTTTAGTACAAAGACACTGAGACTCCTCAAGGGTGTGGAAAGGAAGCGAAGCTCAAACCGTCAGTGTGGTTTCTCATGCAGCCATGGTCCCACCGTCTGGGAGGACTCTAAATGCCAGGACGCACGGGGCAGTTTCTACTGGGCTGTGAGCTACTGGAAGAACGAACCTCCATCCGTTGGTCTCTGTTTTCCCGCCAGCAACGATCAGGGTGTGCCTCACAGAGTAGGTGCACAGCAGGCCTCGCAGCCGCTGGTGATGGCTGTGGAGGTGGCCTCCATTTCCCAGGCTCCCCCCACCCTGCCTCCGACCGGGGGTTCCGCTGGCTACGCACCAGAGCGGCAGCCACTCCACTCTGGGAAGAATGCCTTCACACTCTCTGCATTTCTGGACTTCGTCCCCAGCTGACAAGCCCTATCAGGGACGTGTCTTAGCCTCAGTAAGACAATCAACATATGACAGTCTTGATTCACTTGTGAGTGTTACTGGAAAAGCAGTGCTTCTGGTTTCCTGGCCAAACCATCATTCTTTTCAGACTGTGAGCTGGCCGTCACAGGGGGCTCTGGCTGGAGTTCTGTTGTCTCTTAACAAAGCTAATTAAAAAGTGAGCAGCAAGAGTCTTGAGCCCATAATTTCTAGTTCCTTAAAATCAACCCCTAAGTCTTAAACTGATCAGTTTATCCAATTGAACATTTACTGGGCGCACAAACTGGACTTCCCACACCCCAGGTCACCCATCTCCATAAACGGCAGCTCCTTCCATCGAGCTGCTCAAGCCAGGAACCTGGGCAGTGTTGTGACTTCACTGTCCCCATGTCTGGTGTAAGCACTGTGTCCTGTGGGGCTACGTCCCCTCCCAACAGCCCCCCTCTCTGAGTCCCACTGTTACCCCCTCCCATCACAGTGCTTATCATGCCCCACTGTGCTTGCTAAATGGCTCCCCAGGTTCCGGAAGAGTGGCTGGCGTGTGGCAGATACTTGAGAAGTACTTGCTTCACGAGCAACTGAGCCATAGTCAGGCTGGGGAGTGGAGGGTCATGGGGCAGGGAGGCCCAGGCCATGGGGGCAGGGAGGTCCAGGCCATGGGGGCAGGGAGGTCCAGGCCATGGGGGCAGGGAGGCCCAGGCCATGGGGACAGGGGGGCCCAGGGCATGGCTCTGCCAGGCACAGCTGTCAGCTGGCTGCTCACAGCTGTCTTTTGCATGTGTTTCGGGGGAGGTGTTAAACATCCTGTCTTTTATGAAATGATGGCGGTGGTGGATGGGGTTGGGCTCTTCAGTTGTTTCCATTTTTTAAAGTATTCTTACTTGCTATAACGAAGAGTTGGCGCCTGTGGATTCCCCAGCTGTTTTGAAACCCCCAAACCTGAGTACCACTAGTCATGCGTGTCCACACCAGAGAGACCCAGAGTGGCTGCCCCTCTCCTGCCATCTTCCCCAATTCCTTCCCACACCATCTGGTTTACCTGAATGCGAATGGAATGGGTGGCAGGGTCCCTGTGGATGAAAAACTAAAACTCTGCTATTTTTGGACAACAAATGCTTAAAGTTCTGTCAGAAATTAACTCAGTTGCTGCAAGAGCCCAGTCGTCAAGCCTGAGAGGTCAGTGAGGAAAGGGGACGCTGGGCCAGGCCCTGGTTTCTTCCCTGGAATGGATGCTCACTAAAAGGCAACGTGTGCTGGTCCGTTTTCTACTGGCTGCCTGGCCTGGCCCCAGAGAGAGGTAACCTGAGCTCTGGGAACAATGCTGAGCCACGCCCACAGTCTACAGAAGGATGACTGGAGCTTGCTGCCCTTCCTCAGCACGATGTCTCTACACATGTGCCTGCCGGGCGGGTCCTTCCCTCCGGAGAGCTGCCTCACCGCCTGGCCCTGCACAGCCCTGTTGTGTCTGCTGTCATGGTTACGATGGCAAAGCCACAGATTCAGCACTGCCAGTCCCAGCAGGACGTGGGGACGCGTGGTGTCCTCTGCAGCAGCACCGGCCACGTCTGAGTGTCACGGGGGCACAGGTGAGCACCGAGGTGACAAGGCAGGTGGGCTTGGTGAGTTCTCGCTGCTCCCGGCCCCCCGAGCTGCGCTCGGTGTGGGCTCTCTGCACCTTTTTGTCTTGCCTCTTGCACTTTAAAAGAGACATCATTCAGACTTGTCCCTTACCTGCCTGACAAGTGCTCAGAGCGCACAGAACTGCACCAGGAGACACTGCTAAAGGTTGCCTGAGGAGAAAAGAACTGAGGGTTCGAGCCCAGCGTCTGCTAGGAGCTTCTTTGGGGATAGACAGACTTTTGTTTCAATCTTAGCTGTGTGACTTTAGAAGGTACTTAATGTCCCTGAGCCTCAGGTCCTTTTCTATGTAAAGAGGAATAATAATCCCCACTTCGGCATCTGTAAGGATTAGATGAGATAATGCCTAAAACACCCTCGGCATGGACCCCACACGTACCACCTGCTCCTCCTGCTGCTGGGGGACCATTACCTTTATTAGGAGGAGGGCTCTTTCTAGTAGCAGATTTAAAGGGCCTTACACTTCACACCTCTTCCTGGACTTTACAGAGCCCTCTGATCTGACATGGAGCTCATACCCCAGGGGGCGGCTGCTGTAGACATGACTCAGCTAAGACCAGTGTCGCAGCGGAACCCCGCAAACTCAGCCTTGCGGTCACAGCCGAGCCAGGGGCCTCGCAGAGACCAGGCAAGTCGAACCCTCAGGCTGCGTCAGCCCTCGGGGGTCCCACCACGCTTCCTGCCCTCGTGGCTACACCTGCACCCGCACTGATGGCTGGGGAGCCCTCTGTCTTGTTTGGAAGGCCTCCCACCTGGCTTCCTGCTCCCCCCAGGAGCTCCACGCCCCCTCCATGGGATGTGCTGTCCTCACCAACCTGCTTGCCGGATGGGTCCGCTGTCTGTGCTTCCTCCAAAGCCAAACTTGTCACAGAAGGGAGGCGCCCAGTGGGCCTCGCAGTGGCAGTTCTTCCTGTTGTTACACACCTTTCAGGGCAGCAGGGGGAAAGACATGAGAGGGAAGCAGCATTAGGGCACACCCTCCACCTGGGGTGGCGCTAAGTCTTTGATTGGGTGCCATAGCAAAGCAAAGGTCCTGTGGTCAGAGCCCCGAGCAGCACAGGTACAGCCAGACTCAGAAATGTCAGTGAGAGCAAGGCCAAAATGGCTCATAGGTGAGAGCAGAGCCCGAGGCTGACATGGGGCCTAATCTGTGTTAGCGGCTGTATGGAGAATGATGGAGATTATCAGGGGTGCCCCATTCCCTTCCACACCTTCCTCTTCTCAGTCAGTCTCCATGCCCTCCTCGTAAATCCAGGAAACCCTCCCTATCCGGCCAGGATTGAAGCCTCTCGGCAGTGAGGGGGGACCCTGTTTCAGGGATGTGGAATCGAGCCTTCGAGCATTGCAGGCTGAGGACAGAATCCACGTCTCGGGCCACTGGGACACCCCTGTCTCCTTCAGACAGGAGGCTGGGAGAGGCCAGGGAACCCGGGGCCCCCCAGCAGGCCTACAGCCGCCTCCCATTTGCTGATGCCCACACAGATACACAGATGTGCGCTGACACTTTTCTAAACCTGCTCCAATATCCTGTGCCCGAAATGCCCACTTCCTTCTTGCAGAGTCTCTAGGGGCCGTTCCTCGGCTCCCAGTCCTGCACAGTGGGCACAGGCAACAGTGAAATAAAAGGAAGGCTCTGGTGTGATAGGAAAGGGTGCCCAAGGAAGCATAAGGAGGGCCCTGAACAAGGAACCCAGCTTGGAGGCCAGAGCACTGTGTGGAGGGAGCGGCTCCCAGTCACCTGGTTCCCAAGGGACACCATGATGGCCGTTCCTCCACCTGTGTCGGCCAGTGACCCTCGTTACTGTTACCTGTGCAATTTACTGAACTACGACAGAAACCAATGGAATGTGAGCATGAAAACAAGAGGGGATGGTTTCCATGAAAATGAGGCTGACTGCTTTGGGAGCACTGGATAAGGGCAAGTCACTAAAAGGAGTTTCTGAGAAATTTGCAACGGGTGGGACAACTGCAAAATGATTGGGAAAAGTGGCCCGAGACGTGGATTCTGTCCTCAGATCGCTTCTGGGAAGCCACACTTCCCCTCCACTTAAAGAAACAAGCTGTGCGCTGTGGCTGTGGCTGATGCATTTTGAGGGGTTTCTATAAGGAGGTCAACACAGAGCTACAGTCAGTGCGCTCATCCCAAAGGCCTCAGCCCTGCACCAAAATACTGCTGCCAAATACACATTTTCACGTTTTAAGGCGAAATAAAGTGTTTCCAGTATATGTCTCCTTTGTGATGTTTCCCTGCTTTCACTGGCTTGCTTTGGATGCGTCAACCACCTGCCCCGATTGCCTCAAACAAGAAGGCCGACTGTGAAGATGGCCTGTGATAAGTTGGAAAGTATATTTCTGTGAAGCTAAAACGAAGCAGAATTAATTCCCGGGTAGCACAGCCTATGCTGAATCTGGGTGTCTTGCCTCAAAGATGCTGCTGCTGATGTCCTACCCGCTCAGATTCAGGCACAGTCCCACCCATCCTGTTTGGCACAGTCTCCCAGTGCAGCTCACAGGCATGTGCCCTACCCGCAGCTTGCAGCAGAGAGACTGTGCGCTCACACGTCACTTGGAGGTGCTGCTGGTGAGCCTGGTCTCACTCGGGGGGACTGTGATCAAACTACTTGTCACTGAGTCACGGCAGCTTCTCTGCCTACCCAGAAAATGTGGGCCTTTCCTCTCCGATGTGTGGATGGGACCCGAGGGAGGTTGGAAAGCGAGGAGTCGAGGGTACGACCTAGCATTGCCACTAACAGGTCATGTGAACTTGGCCTGGGCTTCTGTCAGTAAAATAAGAAGACTGCACTAGGGCATCTCTTACTGTCATTAGAAAGAAATCTATGATCCAATGAAGACATAAAAAAATTCTTTTTTACACTGAGTCAGTGTCACTCCCAGTCCACAAGCCCTCTGAGGTGGCACCCTAATTCTTGGATTACAGCACAACAGAATTTTACAAAAACTCGCATAATTCTATGTTAGAATCATTGGCGAGTGTCTGTAAGTTTTAAAAACAGAATTTGGAAGATGATTTCTGTAGAAAGGTTTTCAGAAAAACAAATGGATCACTGGCATGGCTAATCAAGATTAGTATGATTGCAATGGAAATAATTAAGCCCAACAGGAAAAACAAATTGTATTTTAAATAATTAGAGTCCTCTTCTGCCTTAAACATTCCCTGAGCTAAAATAACAGACTTCTTCAGTCAAAACCCACTGTATGTGATTTCGAGGACATGTGGTCAGTACGTCTGTCTTAGTTTTAATGCCTTCTGGAAGTATCTCAGTTCAGTCACATATTCTGAATCTTGGTTGTAAGAGGGACAGCTCTGTTTGAAATGTTAATGCAAAACTCTTCATGAAAGAAGGTTAGTTTTAAAATTACTTTGAAGATGACAAAGTCCTTTTTTTTTTTAAAATCACAAAATGTTAACTTAAAAGATAATTACTGCTCAATCTGATTTTCCTTGTTAAATAAAAATCAAATTTCTTATGCTATGCAAAGGTCAAAGAAAATTAATGTCTTTGGAAGAAAATACTGAGGACACACTGACTGCTATATTTTTTTAAAAGTTATGGATGGCAAAATCCTTTACAAATGAACGAGTTCATGCTTAACTCGTTAGGGACTGGCTCTAAAAAGGCCACGCAGCCTGCTCACCCCTCGGCCGTGGCACTGTAGGGCGCACTCGTGAACACCGAAGACGCTGACATTTTGACATCGACGGTTGAGGCAGACCTGTAGGAGGAAAACACAGCCAATATCTCACTGCTTCTACAAGCAGATACACATGCAGACATCTGGGTATTTAAAAAGAGAAGCAAAGGAAAGCTTCAGGAAGATGATCTTCTTTCAGTAAATATGGACGCTTCATAATGATACATTTTTCATTTGACTCAGACATAGATCCTGACGCCTGACTCCAAACTCAGCACATTTCAAGAGTCAGATTAATGTGAACACTACTGAATTCTTTTATACTTTATGGTATGTTATACAGTTTCAGTCGATCCTGAAATGATGATAACTGATTTTTTCATGATTTTTGTTTAGAGCTTGCAATGAACTTTATGTATTGGAGCATTTTTACCCTCCATTAAAAGATATAAGAGAGGGTGAAATGGATGAGTCCTTAACCTGGGGCCTGTACAGACTAAGAATCCACAGTCCAAGAATCTTTTAAGGCAGGTATGGAAATATGGGAAATTTTCCAAAATACTGACTGACAAGTACTATCGTTGATGACACAAACCATCAACAAAAATGCTCAGCAGAGGAAAACGATGGTTCCCTTGTATTTATCAATCCTATGTAGGGGCAGTAATTTGTTAAATGATACTGGGCTGGTTGAAAGAGCTTAGTCTCATTTCAAAGGTGCATAATATACTCCAGACTCAAGGGATCTGGCCCTTTATCTCCCATAAGATATTACAAATTAGTGGAGTCAAAGGAAGAAAAGTCTAATTTTTAGATTGCAGAAGCATGTTTAATCCAGTAGAACCTTCTTATGGGAAGTTCGCCATCCAACCCCGACAGCTTGCGTAAGGCAAGATGGACGCCCTTTGACAAAAGTGCTGCCCAGGCAGCTCTGAGGGCCGGAGGGAATCTTGGCCAAGGGCACTGTCCCATTCCAGCTGATAAAAGAAATTGTCCAGGATTGCAATTAACACAGTAGGACCCTAGTCAGAATCACAGCGTGGAGGTGCTGCCCCCTCCCAATCCATGGGCAAGGCTAAAGACGGCTTTCAACGAGTGAGTGTTCTGCAGAAATGGAGATCAAAGCACATTTAATCTTGCACATAGGGAAAAAAATCATTGATAAATTGAGTCCTTGGAATTTCAGTGTTCAGATGCACCTGGCCCTGGCTGTTCAGACTACAGTTTAGAAAAATGGGTGTCATTCTAATGTCAAGGCCTGAATATAAGCTAACGTGTGTGGTTGAGGAGACACCTAGAATGTATAACACGTTCCACAGATCATCCTATTTCCTTAAGGGTAAAGCATCTGTGGCTCAGGGTGTGTGGAGGAAAGGGGGTGCGTGGAGGGAATTCCTGCCCTGGGGACTCTGCTAAAGGACTGAGTCTCTCTCTTTCCTTTCTACTCTGCAACCTCTGTGTGAGTGATTTCATAACCGTTTTGAAAACGGGGTCCTAAAAGAAGCATGTGAGAGTTGATTCACCTTTTTTTCCTAAAACATTTTATTAAATTGCTATTATCCATCTGATGAGCAAGTCTGGTGATAAAAATCAATGTCAAGAATATAAAAATCTCAATTTCTTTATTTCTAAACCCAAAACATCTCAGTCTACCTTACCCCCTGGTCTCTAAAAGAACTCCCTTTTGGCCTTCAGCTTATCCTATCTCTTGCCCCTCTGCTATTCTCTCTACGGGGTTCTCTGAAAATACATCTGACTTCCCATTCTATCCAGGTGGGAACAAGCCCCCACTGTGCCAGAAACCAGGGCCACATTTCCAAAAACAATATCATATGCTACTGCGTTTCTTTCCAAAGTAATTTCCTGGCTGGAAACCCTCATGACACCCAGAGTGTAGAAATGACTTATTAACACTAAAGGGCCGAGAAAACAAGCTTGATTTTCCCAAATCTGCATCTCAGTGGTCAGACCAGAACCTAGGATTTATTAACATTTTCTTCTAGGTGCAAAGAATTGGATTCCAGAGACAAAGTTCTGAGAAGTGGCTTTAGGAAAACAAACAAACCTCGTAACTCAGTTCTGGACAGCACGTTTCTCAGTGGGCCCCCTTCCAGACTTACATTAACGATGCAAGTGAGCATTTGGGTCTTACTTTTCCATCTGCACATTTTGTGCCGGCAAGCACAAGCCCTGGGTCCGGCATGTCATCGCCCAAGTACACGTGGGTCCCACGGCACAGAATCCGGCCTCCTTCCTGCAGTGGGATATTCGTTTCTATGGAAACTGCATTGGTACCAATGACTGGCCGGCTGGCACCTCCTTGACACTGGATTTTTCCACATTTGGCATCTCTGGAAGGGCAAGAAGAGACAGTCCCCAAAGAGGGAAAGTTTGAAACAGGCCCTAAGCGACGTGGGAAGTTCAAAGCCATGGTGTGGTCAGGATGCAGATTCCATACCTCGTCTCACATTTGGCAAAGGAACTCTTGGAGTCTTTGCCACAGTTGCCATAAGGGTCACCTGCCGAGTTGACTCTCTCAAAGCAGATCCCAGGGGCAGGTTTAGCACCTGAAACAGAAGCAAAGCAGTACCGTCACCTCCCGCGAGCGTTTTAGTATTTTTCTTTGAACAGTACTGCGCTTTCAGGTTAAGAGGAAATGTGTTCTGTGTCCAGAGAAATCTCGGCTGACTCATGATAGAGCTGGCCAGCAGAAGCTCAGAGTGTCAACAGCTAGCATCCTCTCTCGGCTCAGCTCACATGCAGCAAAGCACGCATTTCATAGCTCACTCTTTTTCAGGGCTGCTGTCCAGGCCCGTGGCATGTGCAGCCTCTCAGGAGATGAGGCCTGGCTGTGGGGCCAGACCTGATCCAGCACAGAGAGGAGGTGGCTGGCTGGCTGCAGGGAAAGGGGGAAGCTTGCTCTCTTTAACAACATCCCACACAATTCCGGAGAGAAATGCAAGCTAAAGCAGGCTCCAAAGAGTAATGATGACTAATGCAGGGAAGTAATGAAAGAAAGAGAGGGAGCGAGAGAGAGGGCAAGAGAGAACCAACGAACAAAGCTGAGATCTTATACAACATCTTCAGTCCCATAAAGCTCCCTCTAAGAGCAAGCACTGGCTTCAAGTTAATGTCTGTGTTTGCAAGGCAGCGACGATTCTCAGAGGCCATGGAGGCATGAAACCTGATCGTCATTTTATACAGCACGACAGCGCCCAGTAGAGAGGACGTGGGAGCCAGAGAGCTCAGGAAATGGCCATTTTTAGCATATCTTCCGGCCAGGGAAAGAAAGAACATATAATTGGGGTTTGTGTTACCAAAGCTTTGGAGGGCTCTCGAATCCTATGAATAGTGCTATCTGTTGAAGATTACAAGAGAAATTCAGGAAAGTGTTCCACATTCTTCAGAATAAACTGCGTCTGTGGTGTGACCTTGGCCTGCCTTCTCTCCCACACTGGGTGCCTGGCTGGGTGCCTCCTCTCATATTCCTTCCAACCGCCAGGATGCCAGCTTCCCAGGACCCAGCTCTGCCCCTTGCATTTCTCTGCTCCCAACCCTGGAGAGGCTCCATGTGCCTCCCAAGGTGACTGTTGACTTATTAAAGATACCAATCCAATGAAGGCAAGGCTCCCCACCTCCCAGCAAACAGAAGATGTTCTTATTACTAAAAATGTCCATCTTTCTTCAACCTGTACCTGATTCCTCTTCATCAGCTACAAGCAGACATGGTCAGCATCTTATTAAAGAAAACAAAAAATAACTAAACCAGACAAATCAAACCAAGCAAAACCCTTGCAACAGTTGAGATCAGTAATGGGTTCAGCCATTGGCCTTTGCACTAAGCCACACCAGTCCTGGAACTTTCATTTTCCTATTCTCTGTTTTTTAAAACCATTTAAAAGAGGTTTCCCAAACTCCTTTTTAAGGGCATTACCCCAAACTGGGCACAATTCTCCAGCGAGATGAGGTCTCTGGCTCTTCAGCATCACATTCCTTTACTGTACCCCAGATTCACATCCTTGCGCACAGTGTGATTACATCACTTACATACTCAGCTTCTGCCTGTTATAGACCCATTTCTTCCACATTCTGCCCTCTTCTTCTTTTTCATCTACCTACTGCAGGGGGGAGGCATGGGGAGGGTGAGTCTTGGTATCGAGCCTGCACTTTGTACTTAAATTAATCCTGTTTGATGGTACTTTGCTCACAGTGCGTGGGTCCAATTGATCAAATGGTTTGGAGAAACTGGCATCTAGAATACCAACAATTTGATGGTTGTGTACTTGCCCAGACCCTGTACTTACTGCTTGCCTGTCTGGCTTTGTTTTTCTGTCTCTTCTCCCCTCCCTCCCTCCCATCCACCCACCCATCCATCCATCCATCCATGCCTCCTTCCATCCTTGCATCATGTTGCAGACTTCAATCACACACACATCTATCCAGCGCTTACTATCTGCCAGGCTCTGGGGGTATAGTGGTGGCCAATTTGGACAAAAGTCCTGCTTGCTTGCAAATTTCAAGGAGAAATGGAAAATGTTCCTCTGAAGCTCAGAGGTGGGGAGTGTGATGCAGGAAGCTGCAGAGTAAGTGATCCAGGGGCTGTTGTTTTAGGCAGACCGGTCAGGGAAACCACTTGGAGGAGGGGCCACAAGCTGAGTCTTACCAGGTAATGTGGTAGTCCTGCATTCACCACTGTAAATGGAATGGCAAAACAAAGAGGACGCCTGACACATGAGTATCAAATAAAGGATTAAAATTAAGACAAGAAATCAAGCAAAGAATACAAACAGTATTTAACGTAGGATAACGAATCTTTCGAGAGAGGTCTCATTATCCCAACTGATGGACAAGAAAACTAGGACTTGGAAGGTGAAATATGTTACTTGAAGTCACAGAGCCATCAAGGGCAGGACCACCTGAGGGTGAAGTCCCCCTTGTTCTCTCCAGTGCCCCAATGTTCATCGAGGCCTCACATGTGCCAAGCCTGCATAGGCCTTGGAGACAGAGACCAGAACAGGACCTGGTCCGCACTGGTCCCCCACTGCTGAGTGGGGAGACAGGCAGATGAGTGGGCTCTCATTGCACCCTGGGGTGCACCATGGGGAACAGGGCAAGAGCCATGACATCTGCCACCATGCCGCCCGAGGGATCCCAGATTCAGGTGGATATGGGCGCAGTGCCACTGCGGCTCACAGGAGAGCTCACAAAATGCACCCTTCTTCCCTCTTTCCCCTCTCAGAAGACCAGGAAAAGGGAATACCAGTGGTTTCTAGTGGATGCTAAGCTCCTGGAACTGGGCAGGCAGAGTTGATACCACCCTTCCATTGACCATGACGCGATTTGATGCTACATAGATTCTGTCACTCTTAGTATTTTCAAGTAATTTCTCTCCTTGGAAATGTGGCCACTTAAAAAATATATATACTGTGCTGCAATTCAAATGTGTTAACTGATAGATTTGTTTTCCTTATAGGGAGCTGTAAAGCGAGATTTCTGAGCAGTTTTAGACATGTGAGCTCGCAGACAGCTCAGAGGCAGGATCAGACGAGGGTTGGACTGGGGTGCACAGAAGGGAGAAAGAGAGAGAAAGGAAAGCAGAGAAAGAGGCTGGCTTCCACAGGGATCTAAAACACTGGCAATGTATTGGGAAAACAAAGGGAAGCCTGATATATCAATACCAAATAAAGGGGCTAAAATTACGACAGGAAATCAAGTAAAGGAACATGAACAGTGTTTAAACAAGTATGAAAGCATCTTGGAAGAGAAAACAAATGCTGGATCGCTGCTTAGGAATCCAAACCTAGAACGTACGGACCTTCTGGGTCAGGCTGTGCTTGGGACTTTAATGCCCCAAATGCCAACGGGGCAGCATGGCTTAGAAAGCCAGGTGTAGGTACAATGCAATGACTTGTAACGTCACTAGAGGTTATAAAACAATACAAGGGTTTCCTGATAACTCTGAAGTACTGTGCACATCCAAGTAGAAGGCTACCCCACATTTAAGGAGAGCTGCCATTTTCCTAATAAGAAAATCCCACAGAAAGATTGATGGCCAACTTCAATATGTGAATTTTTAGCAACATGGATGACATTGTTGAGAATCTTATAATATGTTGTCAATTAACTTAATGATGAGAAATATTGGAAAGTCACTTTTTTTTTTTTTGGTGAGGAAGAATAGCCCTGAGCTAACATCTGTTGCCAATCTTCCTCTTTTTGCTTGAGGAAGATTGTCCCTGAGCTAACATATGTGCCAATCTTCCTCTATTTTGTATGTGGGATGCCGCCACAGCAAGGCTTGATGAGCAGCGTGTAGGTCTGCACCTGGGATCCAAACCCGCGAACCCCAGGCTGCCAAAGCAGTGTGTGTGAACTTAACCACTATGCCACCACGCTGCCCCTGCAAAGTCACATTTTAATTAAGAAATATTGCTTTTTTATAAAACTCGCCTATATCATAAAACAATATTACGCAGATTCTTTACACTTCTCTTTGGTCAACTGATCTTCAACAAAGGTGCCGAGAATACATAAGGAGAAAAGGATAGTTACTTCAATAAACAGTGCTGGGAAAACCAGATATCTACACGCAAAAGAATGAAATTGGACCCTTATCTTATACCACACACAAAATTAACTTAAAATAGATAAAAGATTTAAATATAAGACCTGAAACCATGAAACTCCTAGAAGAAAACATAGGTGAAAAGTTCCTTCATATGGGTCTTGGCAATGATTTCTGGAGATGACACCAAAAGCAAGGCAACAAAAGCAAAAATAGACAAGTGGGACTACATCAAGCTAAAAAGCTTCTGCACAGCAAAGGAGAAATCATCAACAAAATGAAAGGCAACTCAGAGAATGGGAGAAAATATTTGCAAACAATATATCTGACAAAGGGTTTAAACCCAAAATATATGGGGAACTCCTATAACTCAATAGCAAAAAGCCCCCAAATAACCAGATTAAAAAAATGGGGAAAGGAACTGATAGACATTTCTCCAAAGAAGACATACAAATGGCCAACAGGTACATTAAAAGGTGCTCAAGGTTACTAATCATCAGGGAAATGCAAATCAAAACTACCATGTGATATCACCTCACACCTGTCAGAATGGCTATTACTAAATAAACAGAAGATAGCAAGTGTTGACAAGGATGTGAAGAAAACAGAACCCTTGTACATTGTTGGTGGGAATGTAAACTAATACAGTCATTGCAGAAAACAGTATGGAAGTTCCTCAAAAAGTCAAAAATAGAACTACCGTATGATCAGCAGTCCCACTTCTGGGTATATATCCAAATGAATTGAAATCGGGATCTCAAAGAGATATCTGCACTCCCGTGTTCATTGCAGCATTATTCACAACAGCCAAAACATGGAAGCAACCTAAGTGTCCACTGATAGATGAATGAATAAAGATGTAGTATATACATACAATTGAAAATTATTCAGCCTCGAAAAAGAAGGAAATCCTGCCATTTGCAACAACATGGATGAACATGCAGGACATTATGCTGAGTGAAATAAGTCAGACACAGAAAGATAAGTCCTGCATGATCTCAC